GGAGGGGCCTGAGGGAGCTCTGAGGAAAGCAGGTACCTTTGAAGGAAGATTTCCTCTGTGAACCATTTGCTAGGACTGACTGGTTTGCAGTTGCGGTTTGTTGCATCTTGCCTTACCATCCTCAGAAGGAATTACATCCTTGGATCTGTCCAAAAGGCACAGCATTGAACAGGCAACGCTAGCCTGTTAGTTCTCTCAGTCAAAAAGAAATCTGAGTAGGAGGTCAGTAAGTGGCTGTCTCATCAGACCCTGAAGCTGTGCTTTCACTTCAGTGAGACACAATGCAGATGGCTGCCGAAGCCCTCAGAAGTGTTTTGCTTACGCGAGGAAGACCAGAATAGGTTAAGCAGCGCAGTGTCTGGGGAGCCCTGGAGAAACCACATCTCTTCCTGCCGCACAGAAGCTGAGCCTGTGCACCATGTACCTTGCAGCTCTGACTGCATCTTCACAGGTCAGGCCCAGTCACTTTAAAACCAAGAAAGGCCAGCGAAGGGGCCAGCAAAGGCCTAGGAAGCTTGCTGAAATATAGAAGAGATCAATTAGCTCCTGGCAGGTGGGCCTTCTGCAAGGCTTCCCCAGGCCAGTACTCACAACTGCTAAAGTCCTTTCACACCAGGGAATGAAGGTGCCTGTGAGCTCCGGATCTCTGGATGACTCCAAGAGGACCCTCATGTAGAGTCCTGACTGCAAAAAATGTCCGTTCTGGGCTTTTGTAAGGGCAACTAAACTACTCTGATGGTGATAAAAGCTAGTTCTGGACACCAAATCCAAAGCTTTGAAACACATTCAATTCCTCAGGCCTGAGGCTGTAGCCTAGTGGCAGATTTTTGCTTAGCATGTACAAGGCCCTAGGTCCCTAGTCTTTTTTTTTATATTTATTTATTTTTTTTAAAGGCATAGTGACCCAGGTCTTTAATTCCAGCTATTCTGGAAACTCAGGCAGGAATGTAGGTTCAAGGGCAGCCTAGGCTATAATAGTTTGAGGCTCAGTGTAGGAAGACCTTGTCTCCAACTAAAATAAATAGATGATAGCTAAATCAATAAATTATAAATAAATAAGGATAGGTGGTATGTGTCAGTAGTAGAAAGCACTTGCTTAGCATGTGAAAGGCCTTGGGTTCCAAATAAAAGTGGACACCCCTCCCCCACCCCAACCTCACCCCCACTCTCTTCTGTAGGCCTTTCAGAATCAGAGCCTGTGTCTGAAAGTTTAACAGGAAGATTCTGGCTGAGCTAAGCTGAAGATTGGATTATTTTATAGGAAAGAAATCAGTTTTAGCTTCAGAGGGGGAAAATGTCTCTTGCCCTAAACCTGGGGTACAATTCCTGGGAAGGAAATTGTGCTATGAGAAAATGAGTTTAGGAGAGAAAGAAGTTTCCTGTTCTCTCTTTCCTGCTGCAAACTCTCATCTCACCTAGCTCTCCTCGTCCCGAGCACTGTGGTGTTTATATAGCTGCTCCTATGCAGCACCATTTATGGAGCTCATTCTGTGCTGCATCGGGATTATCACTTTGTATGCATTACCTCATTTCCTATTTGGATGTCAGAAGCATCATCAGTATAGACTTGTTTGGTTCAGCAGAGTGGGCATCACTTCTGATATCACCCTTTCAGCCATTCATTTAATACATATTTCTGTACATGAATGGGCCAGGAATTCTGCGCGGCACTGGTTGTACTGGTGACTGTGCCTATGTCTGCTTTCTTGCCTTTGAAAACACTGCAGCAGTAGATTCTTCTGGGTAAAGGAAGCCCTGCTTGGCCTGAAGTTGTAGAGCACTTCTCTGAAAAGATGACATTTAATCGCAGACTAGAAGAATGGGGACCATGACAAGAAAGCAGGGAGGAGCTGTGGAAAGGGCACAGTGGTTAAGAGCAGCAGCTGCTCTTCCAGGAGACCAGTGTTCAGTTCCCAGCAGGCAGCTCACTCATTACCCCCTGGGGATCCGACAACCTCCTTTGGCTCCGTCAGGCTCCATGCACACAGATACAAAGACATACATGCAGGCAAAACAGCCATACACATAAAAAAATATTTTTTAATGGAATGTTTAAAGAAAGGAAGGGAGATCATTTGAGGTGGCGCTGGCTTCTCTTCTAAAGTCATGTCATACCTTATGATGCATCTCCCAGTGAGAACCTTGGGGAAGCGTTGCACTGAAACCTGTTGTTTTCCTGAGGCTTAGTGCAAATCTACCTAACATCCTCTAAATCTTGAGGCAAAATAACCCCATGGATGGGGAATAAAGACACCACATTACAGGTTATTCAAGATTCTTATATACCATATTAAAAGAGTTTACATTTTTTCTTCCCTCAAGGCAGCAGAAAGTTTTTGAATAATTTTAAGTGGGAGAGTGATCTCATCTGATTTCTATTTTAAGTATTTTTCCCTTCCATTTTTAAAACTGGAGGACTTTAAAGAATAGAGATAATTTGGTTATGATGTGTGGGATTAGAGAGAGAGAGGCCAAGAGGAAGCAGTGAAGCAAAGGGGAAGCTGTTGCTTTGGTTTATATAAGAGATTATGATGTCCTGAAAAGAACAAACACGGGGAGGAAACAAGTCGGATGTATTTAAGAGGCATAAATACTAAGTCTTGTAAGCAATGTATTGTAAATAGAGAGTGGGCATGTAAATGGAGAGTGGACAATAAAGAAAAGCAAAGTATAGTCCTGCATACCCTGGCTTGAACAACAGGGTCAATGAGATTTCATATGCTGGGACTGAAAAGGTTTAGACAGGAATAGAAGGAAGGAATTGAAAGTTTGGTTTCAGATTTTTTTCAGCTTGTAATTTCTTTAAATTTGCAAAGTAGAGACATCAGAGAGGCAGATGGATATAGAAGACTGCAACACAGAGGGGTGAGAACATTAAATACAAATCTGTATCCGATCAGTATATTTAGTTATACATTTATTTTTATTTGAGATAGTTCAAGGGTGTCCTTGAACTTGTTACGTACCCTAGGCTGTCTTTGAACTTGTTACATAGGCTAGGCTGTCCTTGGACTTCTCCATCCTTCTGCTTCAGCTTCCTGAATGCTGGGATTATAGGCATATCCACCATGCTCAACTTTATTATTAAGCTTAGATGGCCATTTATGCCCTTAAACAGGGCTGAAGCCCGAAAAGGAAGTGTAGAAATAAAGTAAAGAGTCACAGGCCAAATCCATCAAATGTGTAGGTGAGGAGGACCATGCAAAGGCAAAAAGAAAGATCAGGAGAATGTTCTGTGTCAACCTGACAACACCTCCACAAAATATGGAAGAGGAAGAAAAACTTTCTGACTCCTCTTTTGCTTTTCTAAAAGCAAAGCAAATTTGCAAAACCAACAAACAAAAATGCTTAAACACACACTAGTGAGAACCAAAAGCAACCACTAGAAATTGGCTAAATTTGGACTCTGCCTAGACTTGAATCTACAGTAACAACATGTACCAAACCAATTGCCATCTGCCATTTAAGTTGCTGTCCTTGGGGACTAAAAAGTTCATTCCTCTGTCTTGTCTTTTGTCCAAATATTCACTGCTCTTCGTTGAAGCCTGTGAAATCCAATTTAAAGCCATCTCTTTGGTAGTCATCAATTTCCTTGGTGTTTCTCTGTGTATATGAAATACATACTCTTTCTTTCATTTTAATCTGTTGTGTCACAGAAGCCTTGTCCAATACGAAGATCCCTTGGGGTTGTTTGTCTCCTACGTGACAAAGAACTCATGAGTCACTGTTTCAAGAAGGAAGTGACAAATGTTTCTGAAGGGTTTGATAGGATAAAAACTGAAATGAGACTTTTGGACTTTTGGGAAATAGCGTAGAGTACTTGGTGCAGACAATGCTCAAAACAGTGGTTCTCAGGGACACCAAAGAAATGGTTGGAAGTAAGGCGCGGAAATAGCAGGTGTGAGCAATCCTAAGACGAGGATGATCGTAAACAAGTTATCCGGCTGAACATTCTGCGAGCCCACCAAAAAGCAGTGCCAGAGGCAGAAACCCTCTTCTGATGTCAAAAGTTCGAGTGTTGTGGCTCCTGGGGTCTCATTTTCAGGCAGACCGTCACTCTCCCTCTATAGCTCTGGCTTCCCTTTTAAGGGTGCTATGGCACTTCTCTATGAAGTATTTTTCAACTTTATTCGTAAAGAAATTTTGCATTGAAGACTCCCCCTCCGTGGATGCATAATCGTCTTCTGCAGACTCAATGCAAATGTCACTGTACCTCTAGAATCCCATATAACCTTGCCCAATAAAATCAGTAATTTTTTCTTCTGTAGTCCCGCAAAATTTTACATAGACTGTGACCATTCTGGGGAAGGAGGCTTGGCTTGCAATTGAAATTGGAATACTTTATTCGAACAAATAGATTCAGTTTACAGCAGGATCTCATCCTGTTCTATTGTGGATGATGATCTCTATATTCCACTTCTTCCCATCTTATCTCTGTTTTACCCGTAGAATCAAGGCAGATAATTAGTTCAAACAGTTCATCTGTAGTTTGGGCAGAATTAGGACTGAAAATACGCCAGGTAGCTGTGGCACACGCCTTTCATTTGAGCACCCAGGAAGCAGGGTAGGTGGATGTCTGTGAGTTCGAGGCCAGCCTGGTCTACAGAACAAGTTCTAGGACAGCAAGCACTACAAAGAGGAGCCCTGTCTAGAAAAACAAAAACAAAATAAAAAAAAAACAAACAAACAAATAAAAAAGAGTGAAAAGGAATGTGTCCCCTAATCCACACCCTGGAAGCAGCATTTTTCTGCTTTAAGCCTGCTTCTACATCCTGTCATGTTCCCAGGCAAGCTTCCACAGCTATGTGATTTAGGAAATTTCTTCACAAAGAGTCAAAACCATGTTATTAGAAAACTAGATTTGTGGGCCCTGTGGTAAGAAAATCTGTCCTGTTGATTGTTCCCAGACACTGGCATTTCCTCTGGCTTCTCCCACTTGTGTATGGCATAAGGGAAAACATACATTCGCTGATGTTGATTTGTGATGTTTTGTCTTTCAGAACCTGAGGCAGGAGAAGTGTCCCCTCCGGTGGGTGCTGGTGTCAACAGCAACAGCTGGACCTTTAAATACGGACCAGGCAACCCCAAACAGTCCGGTCCCGGTGAGTTGCCAGACAAATTCATTATCCCAGGATCTCCTGCAATCATCTCCATCCGGCAGGAGCCTGCTAACAACCAAATTGACAAAAGCGACTTTATAACCTTCGGCAAAAAGGAGGAGACCAAGAAAAAGAAGAAAAAGAAGAAGGGTAACAAGACCCAGGAGAAAAAAGATAAAGGAAACGGAACGACTGACAACAGTGACCAGTGAGGCCACCAAATGGAAACAAGCCACTTAGCCAGTTTTTGTAACAATGGCAAATCTCTCCCATGTAGCAACCCCCTGATCCTTTCTCCTATGACATGAGCCCTCCTAGAGACCTCAGAAATCTGCAGAAAGTTCCCTGTGTCTGTCTTGATTGCATTTAACAGGTTTTGTCTTGAAAAGCTTTCCTAAGTCTGGTGTTAACTCTTTCTCTCCACTCTGGCTTGTTTTCAGAACCTAAAAAGCAGACCCAAGTTTCCTTTCTCCTCCGCCGCAAAGGAGAGGCTTCCCAGCCCCGCCAGTGAGAGTTGGACTCTCTGCCCTGTGCTTCAGGCATCCTGTCTTGATGACATTTGCAGGGCAGGCTGAAAGGTATTCAGGTTGAGCAGCTTGGGTGTTTGTGGTCACTGGGTATGTGTGGCTACCATGAGTGTTCGTGAGCCTGACATTGGCTGGGATGGTCCAGGTTAGATTAGTTGACACAAGAAGGGCTAGGAAACAGAGGCACATCAGCATGGCAGAGTCTTCAGTCTGGAGGGGGAAATGTGAAACTAAAAGGGACCAGACTTTCTCAGTCTCTCAACCGGAGGTGTGGTGATCATCCTCTAGCAGTCAAAATCATCCCTGCTGACAAAGCTTTAGGGGTCCCTCAAGTCTGTTGATTACAGCACCACTATAATGGAAAGCTGCATTCTCATGCACACAAGCCGACAGTTCAGGTGGTTAACAAGAGGTCAGCCAGGGCAACAGAAGCAGATCTGATGTGTTTCCTGTACACGTCCTTGTGCTCACGCTATTAAAAATTCTTTTGCAAACAGTGTTTATGAAAAGGACACATCCTTTTCCAACAACACATATGCAAAAGCAAAAGAAAAACCCAACGCCTCACTTTATGCAGTTTGTTGTTTGATAGATTTATTTAAAAAAAAAAAAAAGAGAAAGTCTATAGCTATAAATCTTTAAAGGAATATGATGAATACAATCCCCCCAACCTCCCCTCAAAAGAGAATCCAGTCTACAGCCATTTTAAATGACCATTGCTGCTACAGAAGTGCTTTAAGAGAATTGCCTGGAACATCTGTATTATACCGGCCACCTGCCAATCACAGCTTTACTCTTTCAGGTCACTCTGGGGCTGCCTCTTGCATGTATTAATTACTAAATAAAAGGACCTTTCTCTCTTTTCTAAGAAAAAATGATGTGCACTTTGATTACACAACCTTCTCTAACCCACTATATCAAGACCCAGAAACTGAAGAAAAATATTGTTTTCTCATACATACAGTAAGCAGACTTTTCATTCTTCCGATTCTGTGATTGTCTCGGTGTGCTAGCCTACACCTTCGCCTTGTTTTCCTTTTCTATAACACTCTGAATTGCTAACCTTACTAACACCTATGATGTTACCTGAATCAACCTCCCATATGTATGCTGTATGCTATATAAGACTCCTGAGATATACTTACTCTGTGCTTGTGTCTGTGAATGTTAATGCAACTATTACCTAGAGTGAACTTTAAGCTTTATTGTTGAATGTAAGCCCATTATATTTCCTTTTGTACACCTGTGGAAAAGTGGAATAGTGTTTTTTTTAAACCATTGTTAATCAGCTTTTATGTATGAAAGACACAGTAAAATTTCTTTCTTAAATCAAGATGCTGGTGATTCAAGGAATTTTATTTATGGTCAGCCAAGGGCTGTCTCTTGCCAAGACTCCTGCTGGCAAGGGAATAGATAAAGCTGTTTTGTTTTGTTTTTTTCTAGTAGCAGTTCTGGAATAAATACTGAAGTGAGTCCCTGAGGGTGTGCAAGCACAAAATTGTACCAATCTGACCTCATTGAACTTGCAGATTGCTTTGAAATGCTATCCGGAATATCAGCTCATAGAAAGTAATAAAGTTTACTGTTACCATAAATAAGACATTTTAAGTTTGTTGTGCACAACTTAGACGTTTGATTAATTATATTATCTATTTAAAAGAATAAAAAGAGGTAGGAGTCTGTTTTAAAAGGCATAAAATCTCAAAAAAAAAAAACTGTCTTGTCTACTTTTAGCTTCATTCTCCCATATTTTGAAGGGTGTGTAACTTCAGCTCTGCAGGATTGCATGGGGTAAAACTTGTTGACAACACATGTGAACCATTGCTACATTGTAGGTTGTGATCATTTTGCCCCACTGAAGCCCATGTAACTGACCTTACGTGCCTTTTGAACTAGGAGAATCGGGCTAATTTATTAATGATGATAACTATAATGAATATGTACAGCACTTTTTAAATTCATGAAGTGCTTTCCAATTCGTGTTAGTTACTAGTTATTACAGCTGTAAGGATAAAACACGTCATGTGGATTCATTTTTAATTGGTGCTATTGGTATTTCCTCTGTTATTGCTAATAAATGGAAATGGTGGTGTGAAAGCAATGGTGGTCATTTCTAAGTACAAGAGTAGGAGAAAAACGGGACACTGATGGTCATTAGCTGTTCCTGCTGCTGAAGAATATCTGGCTGTCACCTCGTTTTTATGTTTATCACCGAGGCAAACAAGGATGGAATCAAGAGTCTCACGTACTGCCAGGAGGGTGATGGTCACTTCCCACTTTGCTCTTTTAGTCTGACAAGAACTGCAGCAAATCAGTTTTTATCATTAGAGACCCCTCCCCAGCCATCTTGTTTATTTACTCACTTAGTCCTTGTACCTCTTTACAATTAGGAAGCAAACACAAACACATGCATCAAACCACACACACACATACACACACACACACACACACATACATACACATAAATACACACATACATCAAACCACACATACACACAACACACCCCATCACACCACACATACATATACACCATACACACTGCACATACACGCACCACACACACACACACACACACACACACACACACCCCATCCCCAGGAATAAACTTTTGTTGACTATACAGTACTTAACTGCCACCCTCTGGAGAGGTTCAGCCCTTGCCACTACATGATCTGTAACAGATAGATTAGATTATCCTTTTGAAGCTAAATTTCGATGAGCATGGGCTTTCGATGTGTATTTCTTAGTATGGAACAGTTTTACGCCCAGGGGACATCAGTGTATGTCCTCTTTATGGGGAGGTGAGAATGCTTTGGCTTTTAGTGGGTAGAGAACAAGGAACTGCTCAACCCCACAGTTCACAAAGGAGACCCCACAAGAAATGAGTTTTCCAGTCCATAAACATAAATTCAGTTCTTGGGTTAAATCTAGATTTTTAATCCACTCAGACACTAACAATGCACTAGACAAGTAAACACAACAAAACAGACAAACAAAACTATCAGCGTCAGGGCTGGAAAGCTAGAGTCCTTAGGAAATGGCAAGCTGGTCACTCGTGGCCCTACTTAATCACATTTTCATGAGTTTCCTCTCCAAAGAGAAGCAATCACAGTATTTCCCCTGATTAGCTTGGCTGCAGACAAGCATGACACAATGCAGCTGGCAGCTAAGAAACTCCCTTTTACTCAGGAATGAGTGTGTGTTCATGCACATGTGATGATCACACACACACACTCACACACACACACACACACACACACTTTTTATTATTAAGAAGTACACTCTAGTAAACGAGTGTGGTGCTAACCTACCTTTGACATGTTCCCTAAAGTGGTACATAACGACTCTATTGTGACACTATTTGAGTTGGTTTCCTGTTTTTCCTGAGGCTGATCCGTGGAGATCACTTTGGGGCTGCTGAAAAGCGAAACCCTGAAAATCGTTTACCCTAAACAATCTCCAGGCTTATGCCCTTAAGCTCCTTTAAAGTACTAGAAGATTTACTTCCATATGGAGTGTAGTCTGCACAGAGAAATGGGAAATTAAAAGTGGAAAAAGTTAAATGAAGGCACGAGATAGTGAAAAACAAAATCCAGTATTTCACTGTAACAAAATTGTCATCTGAGGTGTGGCTCTCTAGCCACTAAAGTGATACGCAATTCCTGTAAACACCAACCAGCTTAAGAGAAGAGCTAACAGAAATGAATAACGGATACATAAGGACGTGGGAGGCTTGATTGCATAGCTCCCATTTTAAAAATTTTGCTTCTACTGTGTTACTTTGATTTTATGTGATATTGAACTTCTATTACAAAAGTCACATGTTCTTTTTAAATAAACCAAGCAATCCAGAGGTGCATTAAGAAAATCAGAGGTTTATTGAATGACTCAGCAGATAAAGGTGCCTATCGCCAAACCCGAGAACCTGAGTTCAGTCCCCAGTGCCATATGCTACAAGGAGAGCCCTGACTTCAAGTTCCCCTTAGCCTTCGCAAGCACACTGCCAATGAATGAATGTAATCATATTTTAAAAAGAAACACCATTACACAGACAACCAGCAGGAACTGTTTCCGCATTTTTTCCTTTGTGCATACATCTACCATGCCACACACAGGCTAAGCTGTTTTTGTTTTTTTTTTTTTTTTGAAGTAAAAGTAAAAGAAAAATACTGCTAAGATTGCTTCCCTGTAGAATTCTTAACTAATAATATCATAGCGATTTCCTCAAGTTCCATAAAAATTCTGATCTTAGTGTACTCATACGACTAGATTTTGGCTACCAGAAATAAAGAGTTTTCAGTGATAAATCCTGGGCTCATGCTGTAAGCCTTGTGTATTCCACAGAGGGAGTTTGCAAGGTTGTTAAGGAACTTTTATGCATCTCCCTTTAAAATAATCACATTCCTCTATCTGAAAACAAATTTATTTTTAGTATTCAGCAGTACATTTTAGCTCTGTTTATAGATAAATTATGAAAAACAGGAAGAGACACTAGCAAAACAGGAAAGCTAGAGAGGTTTATCGTCATTTATTTATCCAGAATAATGAGGTGGGGGTTCCATTTCAGTCAAAAACTAATACACATGTGTTAAGGGGGTGACAAAAAAGAACACTGATTCTTTTCTAGGTTGTTACATCTCCGCTGAAAGCTAGAACTTGGTACCAGAGGAACTGATTTTACTTTAAGAAAAGTAAATTGCTTTTCAAACAATAAAGTTGACGGCGAAGATCAAGGTAACCATTTGCAAGTTAAAAAAAAGAAAAGAATCTCAATTGCAAAACCATCTGGCTCAAAGCTTGAAATGATTTTCCTCTTTAAATTATTGATAGCATTTTCTCTCCCACGTCAGTCTATCAAAAAGGAATTGCATTCCCAAGTCCTTACTTAGGCTTATTCCATTCTCTATGGCTAACAGCATTCACTAGAAATACAGAATACACGTTGCTTCTCTGCTGCAGCAGCTCTCCAGACCTCCTCCCCATCAT